GAAAAACGCTAATCTCAGTCCCTTTATGGGGAAATACCTATCTGATGATTCACGAAATAATTTCAATCAATACTCCGCACATTGCATGTCACACAGCTGTTGGCAGAAAATGAACAATTATTTTATACTGATAAAAACCTGCTTATATTCTTTAGCACGTTAGACTTTTTAGCCATTTAAAGCTTAGTACATATTTTGCATGTTTGTCCATAGAATAACAAGATAAAGATGACGTTATTTTTCACCTTGCTCGTGTTATTTGGTGGTACATCATTCATTTCAGGTGATGAATGCACGGTAATTTTGACAGTATGATTGATTACTAAACGGCGAGGTAGTCCTCGGGTAGATCCAAGTGCACTGATTAGTTCATTCTTGGTCGGGATTTTCCCATATAGATTGTTTCTATGGAACCGGTCATAAGCTGTGTATCTTTTTGTTTTCGAAAGCCGGAAAATCCAATAAACAAGCATGCCCTGATTGCCATCTAACAAACTACTTACTAACCTAGCTTGCTCCAGCCATAATCTGAAATATTGGTCCTCGGTCGCTTTTTCCCTGACCTCACTGCGCTAGGTCTGTGCTGCCACTACCTCGGGCATATATTTCCTAGTACGGCGTTCGCACTTGGTTAGTTTGAAGTTCTTATTTTGGAAAGGTCGTGTTGCTTAACAAGATATTACTTGATCACTCAGTAGTAATGCAGGCTAGTGAGCTAGGCGAAGGAAGTTGCATGTGTATTGCTATAATTTGCTTACTTTCTGGGGACTGGGTTTTCAGAAACAAGTAATTGTAATTAAAATCTCGTAACAAAAGCTTCATTGGATTCAATATCATATTCAGGCTAGTTTTGGTAGTTTTTGTCTAGAACATTACTTGTTTGAACGCCAGGAAGATTCGAAAATGGATTGCCTACATGTATGTTACTTTTTGTAAGCAGGATCTGGACAACACGTCACGTGCGAGCGATCATATTACAAGCTGGGATGCTATCAGGACCGACAGTGGTCCAGGGCTATGTCTAAACTTCTTATCAGTGACCGTGTTAAGTCAAGTCAGGGACGAAGTGTCGATTGGAACAACTGGGAAGATTACTTGCACGGGTTTGTACAAAATGCTAGTGAAAAAAGGTTGATATTTTGTCATCCTGCATTCTCTCTGTTCGCCCTAAGTTAAATATCATCACTTGCTCACCCAGTTAGTTATGGTATGGCTTAGTAACTTAGTCAGTTGAGCCATGGAAGACCAGTCTCGGAGGTCAAGGATTCTATTTTATTGTATGACTGAAAAATAGTATTTTATTGTGCCTAAGCTAAAAGCAAACCAATTTATCGTTGACTTTCAATATTGCACTCACGTAGACGCGCATGCAACATGAGGAAATTTTAAAATATCACTCGTATATTGTAAATCGTTAATTGCACTCGAAATAATTTACGATTGTCTGTACCGTGCGCTTCATTTAATTTCTTCGAGAGCATCCTTTAGCCTCTTAGCCATTTTCGCAATCCGATCTTAAATTCTTTTGGAATTTATTGGTAATAATTAGTCCTCTCTATTTTTTTTTCACTTTGCAGCCTGGCGTGTCGTTGTGCCCAGGCTGCCTCTCAACAGGGATACACAATGTTTGGACTTCAGCACTACGGAGAGTGCTGGTCAGGACCAGAGTCATGTGACCTGTATTCTCGACATGGAGATTCTCAGCTGTGTATTGGTAAAAACTACACCAGATGTGATATTAATGACGAAAGCGAGTGTGTTGGAGAGAGCAACGCCAACTTCGTGTATCTTTTGCTGGAGGGTGAGTCCTAATCATTGGTAAATGGTTGCACAGTGAAAACAAATAAATTTCTTACCCGGAACTTTGATAAATAACAATGAGAAAGGTTCCGTTCACACTACGCTAGAGGAATTTGAAAACGCAACTAGGCCTACCGTCCGCACTAATCCGTCACAAAAACGGCGCTTTATGAAAACGCTCTTCAAACCGGAGGAATTTGAAAACACCGGCTTTTCGTTTTCGTGTGGACAGAAAACATTTTGAAAGTGGCGCTTTTTGAAAACGATGACGTTACGATAATCATGTGATTTCCCTGCCCGAGTGGTTTTCAAACACAAATCGAAAATGACCTTTGATTGTTGCGTGTTTAAATTCTTTCAGCGTAGTGTAGACGGCACCGAAGAGGTAAAATATTGCACGAGAATTTCCCGCTCTCAAAAAAAAAAAAAAAAAAAATTAAAAAAAAGAATGCCAATAAGCAGTATAGTTTAACTCGTCTCAAGGCTCATTTCTATCCTAAATAATGCATTGTCATTTGTTTCTGTTTTGAAAATGGCTCTGTTTTACAACCTTGCGCTATGATTGGCCTAAGGATCTACCAGATTAATTAAGAATATCTCGAAAACATTCACTGAAGTACGTAGAAAACGAGTTGACTGTTTTTTTGTTTTGAATTGTTTGAAAAAGGAGATATTTTAATGGACATAAATTGAGAGGGTCTCTAGATATGCCTCAGTGTAAAGTTCATTTCCTTCTTTTGTGGTTATTAGAGTGCAGAAACACATCTGTCGCAGAATTTATTTTTCGCTTTCTTTTCGTTTTATTTCAGAACCAGAAGAAGAACATGTCATTTAAGTAAAATACAAAACACACTTTGCGGCTTCAAGAGTATGCAGTTTCTATTGTACCTTATATTATACTTAGAGATAAGATGATTTTTTATCATGTCGAAGTATCTGAATAAAAATATAACATAGCCTTTTGCGTAAAGTGTGTCCATATGTGTACTTTTTAAATTTGCAAACTTTATTCCATTTTTTTTTTTTGTTGCTGGAGTTAAACATTTTTGATCACGTTTTTTTATGGAAAAGTCGTGAAACTGAACAAATGTTCACAGTGAGAAAGCAATGCTAAATTTCTTTCATGACGGCTTTCCGAGGTTTATCGATGCTTTCTCTGCTATGAACAAACAAAAACAATGTACATAAAACGCTTGCCCGTATATGGCGTATGCTACACTGCCTGATTACGTCACGAATTAAAAGCATGGCCCAGTCTATCTCGGACAAATGTTTCTTGGTAGTGATTTTGCATCTCCGATCCGGTAAGACGATTGTATTTTATAACCACGCCACTAGCTAAACATTTTCATGGAATTATATTATTCTCAGCTGGCGACTCAGTCAGCGTTCAATTACAGTTTATTTAGACGATGCTCCAAATGTTTTTGTTTCTTGTCGTGTGATTTTCCTATCTCTCCTTTCTTGTAAAAGGAATCTTTATCCATTACTTCATACGTATCCTGCTTCTCTTTCGGCCTGAAAAACAAAGACAATGAAGTCTCATAAATGGAATACCGATAAGACTAACATACATTCTTCCAATTATGAGGAAAAGCAATAAATAAAACAACTCACCGGTAATAAATAATAAATCATGATAATAAGTGGTAAAAAACCCTATCTGCAGTGGCATGTCCCTTGATGGCCTCATGTAAAGTCATGTCATAAGTAATTGGAAGAACATAAAAAGCGGACCATAGTGGTGTCTGAGCTTTTAGCTTTGCTTCATAGGTGAGATGACAAATAGCGTCAAATAAAGTCATATTTTCAATGGTTGATCTAATCGAGAGCAAGGGAAACTTTCAATCGGATTCCTTTAATAATTTTGCACTCTTGATCTTAAGTTGTTTCTATTTTGATATACTCTATCTATAGCGACAAAAATGTCAGCACTGATTTTTCAGCTGTTATGACGTTCTTAGTCTAAAATCATTTACAAGTGATTTGCTATATATATAAGAGAAACTAGTCAAGGATCATAATTTGCTCAGCTCACGTTGTGTTGGTAGAGCAGGTCCCACAAGCACGCTTGCACATCATGTTAATGGTTCCTATGCTAGCTGTCGGAGCGTACTCACTGCAATACCCACGAGATGCGTACTCATTGCAGTCGTCTGAATAATCTTTGCAATCTACAAGAAAACGAGAATCAAATTAATAAGCAATATCCCAGCCATATCTTACCCTCAATATCGAAAGGTAAGCAATATGGTTCATTCGCATTTTATTTACAATACTGATTGGACTCTCACGCGCTTATGGTCAATGGTCGGACGACAAAGTCGATAAGATTATAGACCATAGAAGTTTCGTAATTCATTGTTAGAAAAATAAAGCAACTGAATTAATATGCACACTAATACTCTCCTACCGACGTTAATTAACCTCATTATATACCGGGGATATCTCATGCATGCACTCCCTCTACTTCGGGGGTTTGATGATATACCAGCACTTTACTCAAACCAGTAATGAAACAATGAGATTTATTCTTTAGGGAACATTTGCAAGTCAACCGAAAAAAAATAAACAAACGAACAAACAAACATAGGATGAGATAAGAAAGAAAGAAAAATAGTGCTCTTTAGTCTTACCATTGTCTTCGACAGTCATCTTGCTGTCGTCAAAGTTATATTCAGCATAATTTGCTGATTCAGGATTTGGTGTAGACTGCATTTCATCGCTGCTGAAACTCAGTTTATCATCGTTGTATCGTTGGCGATGTTGTCTATGACGGCTTTTTGTGGGATTAAGGTGTTCTGATTGTTCGATTTCATAGTCTCCATTTGGCTTTTCAGTAGGCCTTTTGTCTTTTGGATGTCTACGCTCACCACCAACAGGCCGAGCGCGCTCTCTATCATTTAAATGATGACGATGACGATGGTGGCGTTTAAAGCCCTCGTCTTCTTCATCAACTTCATCTTGGAACTCGCTTGGACAATAATCACACAGTTCTTGATGACCTATAATAGAAAGAAATGCGTCTTGCCTATTAATTTCATGCGGAAAATTGTAAAGTGTACATATTCGCATGTTAGCAGAAACAAACAAAAAAAAAAAACATATACATTATTCTGTTCTGTTTCTTTTTGCAAAAATGCAGCTAATTTACAATCAAATTACAAATTACAGAATTTAAGTCCCGATCGCGAAGCTTAATACAGAATAATAATAATAATAATAATAATAATAATAATAATGATAGTAATAATATAATTTCGCAGTATGCGTCAACAATAATGCTTTTACAGCTATGCTTACAAGACATATATGGCTAACTTGATATTTGCACGACTGTGATGACGAAACATCTTAGGAATGTCATTAACAGAAGATATGTATGACAGAGTTAACGCAAATTGCCCATGCAAAGCGGCAATAAAATATTTGTAGCCTACACAGATTGCATAATAAGTGCTCTTGATATCATGCTCTGAGCGTGGAACTTCAGACAACAGTTAAGAGCTTGCTTACCATCGTAGCAGGGACGACAGAAGTGAACAGAAATACCTGTGAAGATAATATATGACCACATTTGGCGAGAAATTTTCTTTTTATTAAGGATCAATGGAGTTATTTGTCCAATAAATTACTTTTGGTAGTTCAAAGGAGAGAGTTTATTGGAGAGAGGTCTCTTATAGAAGAGAAAGCACTTATTAGGTTAGGGGTGCTTATTTATTTCTGAACAACGATACAGATATAATACCTCAATTAAAAAAAATATATATTTCACGCTCAGATGAGAAAGCAAGACTTCTTAATTCTCTCGTGTAATCAGTCTTTTCTATACCACCGTCTCTTCTTTCTTTCTCTTTTTATTGGAAGGGGCGCTTATTGGAATAGGGGTGCTAATTAAAGAAAACGGCACTGAAAACGGCACTGGAGGGGGGGGGGATCGTTAATTAGAAGGAGGGCTCGTTTTTGAAGGAGAGCACTAAACTGAATCACTGCGGTTTGATACCCTTGTTAAAGGGAGTTTTGAATTCGAATTCTTCTATTATTCAAAAAATACGCAATGTTACCTTTCAATATCTTAGTGACAACTTGTTGTGCGGTTCGTCCCATTTGTGTGTACTCGGCCCTAAAAATATGCTCGCTATGTGGAAAGCTTGCCATTGCATGAAGTTGCAATTTACTGTAAAGATTACCAACACCAACACAGTACATTTCCACTCCATACGACCTGATGTCCATGGACGGCGTGATAACGTCATCAATTGATCTTCCTGCCACTAGGAGAACGATCGCTCTTGGTACATGCGCTCTACCAGAGCTGCTAAAGAGGTAATGCTTTGTTACGTGCAAACCACGGCCTATGTAAGTTCCTGGTCCATCTGTTCCTGGAAATTGGACTGTCGACAACGCCTGATCTATGTTCTGTATGTCAAAGTACGTGTGGAAGTTGAAGATAACGAAGGCCTCGAGAGAAAACACGACGACACCCACACGGGTCATGTCGTGGCCTATCGAGAATGAATGGGCTACAGCACTTACAAACGTGAGAATTTGCTGGAAGTTTTGTTCGTTCCCCACGGAAGAAGATCCATCGATTAAGAAAGCGAGGTCCAGAATGACTATGAAGGCAAAATGAACAATAAAATAGATCAGATCACCAAACACTTCATTCCTGTTCTTTTAATGAAGAGGCTCTCTGTCAGGGCGAGGTCATGCAGCGCATTAGTATTATTTAACTTTGGCACATTTGTGAAAGATAACAACGACAACATTTACCTTCCATTCCTCTGGCTCCTCCCATACTTCCTCCTCCAGCGCCCCCCATATTGGCTCCACCAAAGCCTCCTCCAATACCGCCACCCATGCCACCTCCTATACCGACACCTCCCATACCTCCACCCATTCCGCCTCCACCAAAATTTCCATTTCCACCAATGTTGCCCATATTACCACCCATAGACCCTCCACCCACACCAGCACCCATGTTACCTCCACCGCCTCCCATCATGTTCCCACCACCTCCACCAATCATGTTGCCACCAACACCTGCCGTATTTACACCGACACCCATCATCCCACCACCACCCATCATACCACCGCCGCCACCTGCAATGTTTCCCCCACCACCAATCATACCACCTCCCCCTCCCACGTTTCCAGCACCACCAACCGTACCTCCTACACCTCCTATGTTCCCTCCAGTGCCTCCTCCCATATTCTCGCCGATTCCTCCCATGCTACCACCACCACCCGTCATGCCGCCACCTCCAACCATACCACCACCTCCAGTCATACCACCACCTCCAGCCATACCACCACCTCCAGCCATACCACCACCACCGCCGCCGCCACCAACACCAAGTCCTCCTCCCATATTACCACCGGCGCCTACTCCCATACTTCCCCCAACGCCTGTGTTAACTCCAGCACCACCAACAGAACCTCCTCCCATGCTTCCTGCTACACCACCAGTCATTCCACCTGATACTCCTAAAGAGAAAAAAATGATTTTACATAATGCTTTATAACTGTTTTATTAACGTTCAGGCCGTAAACAGCAAAAGAGATTTTTAATTCAAGATAGTTTTTAATATCAAACCGATCGCGATATTATCAACCATATTTATTTAACTGTCTTAGGGTGAAATACTTGTTAGTATTGGTCGCATTGAATATACAAAACAAACTATTGTACTCAATTTATTAATCTACTTTCGATGATAAAATAAAACAGATTTAACTGACAATAACAGAATGTTAAAGGCACACACAATTTATTGATAGGAAAAGAAGCAAAAGCTCTTTTATTTAATGTAATCGTTTATGTAATGTTTAGTTATGCCCAGTCTTTTTGATATATGCATTATTTAGCTCCTTACAATATTATTAGGAAATAGGTTCATTCCATATTACAGACACCAGTTTTGTAAAATAGCCTGGGGAGGTTAGTAATTTCTAAGTATAAAACTACAACGTCGCTGTAGCTCAAAGCTTGTTATATTTAACTGCGCCGTTTTATTGTTATGTACTCGTTAATATTTTCACGATTTTTCTTCGTTTAATTGCTGAAAATATGTTATTCCCTGTTTAAAGAGAGATCGTATAGTGATGGTGAAGCAAGCCGCGTTAATTCTGTGTTAGCCTGATCTGGTACACGTTCGTCTCTCGGCCACCATGCAGGTTTCACGGGACCAATCCATGCGCATGCACCACTCACCACTTTATCTTACCCTTATCTCCTGCCATTTCACTGACGCCCTCTTCGGGAATACTGGTGCCGACCGCCTGAATAGTTCCCGGAGGTGATTCAACAGAAATCCCTGTAGGCGTCGTAGAAGCAAACTCTTCAGTAGAGGGCACTCTGGGAGGTGGATTTGGCGTTTCGACAGGAGGAGGGATTCCAGTACCAACTGCTTGATGTGCTCCTGGGGTGGACTCAACCACTATACCTGTGGGGGAACTTGAGGCTTCGTTTGTAGTGGGAAGCTTTTCCATTCCATAGTGGCAATCCCTCCCACCTGGTAAACGAATGTTACCAGGAGCTTTGGGTCCTTCACTATTTAATAATAACGGTTGGGAATTTTCTCCAAAGCATTGCGGACTTGTAGCAACCGTCTGAGGCGGTTCAATATCCATAGTATCACCTCCTTTATTGTTCATTTCTGCTGCGTCTACTCCTTGGACTGTCCCCGGAGGAGATTCCACAGCAGTACCGGTTGGAGTTGTCGATGCCATGTCTAAAGAAATGGAAGGTTGTGACCCATTAGGTGATTTTGGTTTGCTAGCGGGCTTAAACTTCTGGACACTTTTGTCTTTCAATGCCTCCGTTACGTCACTTCCCAGTAATTTGGAAAGCAGAACTTTCATGAGACCATCTGTTTGAAGTCCTCTGCTCTCCGTTGTTATTGAAACGCCCGCAGTATTTACTTCCGTGCCATTCTTGTTTTGCTTCTCACTACTTGCCTTTATGTGCAGTTTGTCAAGGTTTCCCTCATTCTGCTCATTCTGGTCGACATGTGGTTGCTCCATATTCGAATGACTTGCGTTTTTGCCGCTATTATTCAAACCTACGACAACCGTGTCTTCTTTCTCACTGCCTGTTTCTTCAGGTGTAACATTAGCAGCTTTCGTTGTATTGTCAATATCTTTTAATACTTCTTGAAGAGAAACATTGTCGACTTCTTTAGAGCTTGTTTCTGACTCTTTCTTCGCATCATCATCTAGACGAATACCTATTCTAAGTGGATTTAGCTTGGCTTCCAGTAATACATTAGAATCCGATTGATCTTGAAACTTCCCGGGTTTTTCTGAGGAGGATTCAGTAACTTCTTTGCTCAGCGGGAGCCCGTGTGTATCGCCTGCACTCAAAGGTTGTCTACCATCTGAAAGTGCTTTGTCGCTATATAGGTCTTTGAGTGAAGTTTCAGTCATTATATCTTGTGAATTATTTTGTGAGGTAGCTCTGAACAATTCTGCGTTTTCGTCTTTCACACCATGAACTGCAGAAAGCATTTTTGGTTCTCCAGAACTTTGATTTCGGCCATGGTTTACAACAGTTATTCTTAGGACCGTGTATTTTCTTCTTTCCGAAGGTACCATTGAGCCATTTCCATTGGTTTCGTTGGTCTTTCCCCTATCAAATATCTGTCTTCCTTTTACATCAAAGCTCGAACTGTTGTTTTTGGAAAACTGATTTGCTGATCTTCGTTGTTTGTCCTTCTTGCCTCCAATAGATGTCACACCTGTACGTTTCAATGTACGTCCTTTTAGCTTCAGCACTTTGTTTAGTTCACGTTACGTGCAAGTAACAGTAGGCGAGGATGTTTTAAGCGTGAATGTCAGCCGTCTCTTGCAATTGTTCTTCTAAAAGTATTATTGTTATTGATCACTCGTTCCAGTCTGAAATTTATGTATTTTCGTATACCAAGCAAACACAAATTACCTTGACCAACATTTTGAGCGTTTCCGCAACTAGGAGCTGACGGCTGACATCCACAAAGATGAGGTAAATGAAGTGGTCTAACTGAACAATCAGGACCTAATCCGGCTACTCCTGCATGACGAAATTAGAATTTTAGAATGATAGTATCTCGCGCGTTTCAAAACGCTTCCCAGAACAAAATAAAGAGATTTGTTAACACATAAGCTAAAAAAACTTTGTTGCTGTTAAAAAAAATTCTAGGAGGTCCATACACTATAAAAAACCTTTAAATGTCTCTCAGAAAGAGTTGTGAGATCATCGCGACAGCACACTTTAGCAATAACCGTGAAGTATTTTGCGTCTGATTCACTGAAGCTTTGGTCCACATTTTAAGTATACTGGGCAATTTCTTATAAAACAAGCATTTTGATTTAGCCGTAGAAAAGGTGTTAACGAAGAAATAAGTTAAGTCTCCCGTTAAAGTATGTGGGTATTTACGAGCAGCTAAAAAAGTTAATGAAGTGATACCTGCTGACTTTTGTTAATCTTCAATAAGGGCCAACATTTTTATTGGGTTGATTTAATTATCGTTTCTATTCAGAACTCGACAAATAAGCTATTTATTTTTTGATTGCAATGATGCCGAAAGGCACAAGTTTTACTCTTACGGCCATCATTGCCAATTTGTGGTTTGTATGATTTTAGGCCTCATCTACACAGAGAAAACAAGATATTTCATGAGCAATCCTTGTACAAAAATGTAAAACAGTAGTCTAAAAGCTACTCAAATTACCTCCAACTCCTCCGACGGCTCCACCTGTTGCTCCTCCGCCCATTCCTCCTCCACCCATACCCCCACCAACCATTCCTCCTCCACCCATTCCTCCTACGCCTATTCCTCCAGCTCCACCAGCGGAAATTCCTCCAGCTTTTGTAACATGCAAAATAGAAAACAAAACAAAACAAAACAAAACAAAAACAAAAGGTTGTTTGATACGATTTACTGTCAGTTGGAATTTGACTTGATTCTTAATGAAAATCAAGGACTAAGGGTGCTTTTTCCATTTTAAGGCCTTGGATTCTGGGGTATTGTATTGTGTTGGGCTCAGTCAGTAGTCTTTGTTAGTGTCAAAGTTCAAAGTCAAATTCCACAACGTGCGCAATGTTTTGGCAAATGAAGTTAAGGTGGCCGAACACAGTTTTCGCGCGCGCTTTTGCTGATGCAATTCAGCGCGCGCACAAGGATTGCAAAAAACAATCATGCCGTCAATAGAGCGATCATTTTATTTACTCAATGCCCGGACTATCTGTGCTATTTTTCTCAATAAGTGTACTGATGGCTTTAGTCTTTTCTTACAAAGATATGTTAGAAAACGTAACGATGCAAAGAACCCAGCAATTCTAAGCTTTTTCTTTGTCACCGAAAGAAACCAGTTAAATGCAGCGCATGCGTAGTAAGTCAAAAAATTGCGTTTGAATGAAAAATTGCACTCTCGGAAATACGCCTATTTCTCAAGAACCACTCATTAGAATTTCCCGAAATTTGGCA